GCACATATACATGAAAACCTAAAAGGCACCGCAAACATGAAATTACATGATAAAAATCTAAGATAAATTAAAAGGTTTCTTATCAGGTAGGTGCTACCCACTTCTGCTCTGAGTTCAAGGAGTAGCCTACGTTGGGAAGACCACTCCGAGCTGAGCTTTGAATGGTAGGTGGGAGGTCCGTAAGGGCCGAAGTGGGAATGATGATACAAAATCTGGCATGGCTGAGGGATTTATGAAAAAGCCGTGAGAAATAAGAGGCAGTATGGGGTGGCATGCGCGGGGTCTCAACTGGGCACAGAAGCATTTACAGACTAGATGATTCTGCCTGTTGGGAAGCCTAGCGGGGCCCATGCTATCTGCAGCAATGGCTCTGATGTAGCCTGGACTTTCTGGGCTGTCTAAAAACACAGCAAAACAAAACTGCACATTCCATGAAATTACTCTCTTGAGGATTATTTTCCTTGGACAGATAGCAATGGGAAAATGACCAATGCTTGCCAGGCGATGGCTCTCTCTCTCCTCTGGTGTTTATATACACTTGCAATTTTTTATTGTTTGGAGTTTCATTTGTTTGTTAGCAGAGAAGGTGGAGATTTGGCTCAAATAAGTATCCGCCATCTTTATCAGGACTGGCAATGTGCTGAAATGGATGGCATTTTATTGTACTTGTTAAAGGGATATAATATTGTTTGCTCTTTTCACTGAAGCTAATTATTACCAGTCTTTATAAAAACCTCTCTGAGTGATGAAATAACCCTTCACTCAGAAGGATAATTAACATTTTTGGAAGGCGGCAAAGAAATGCATGCATGTGCCCTAATTTGGACGGTCAAACCACATCATCAAGAAGATCAAGAAGGTCTATCTGTTTAGACAGAAAGAAAGAAGTAGATGATACTTACTGCCCAATGGCAGAGACAGACACAGAGCCATGGAAACCCATATGAGAAGAGGACATTCTTTTTAGATGATCCTCATTAGAGCTGAGGGGGTAAGAAGACAGTTGTCCAACAGTTTATTGGGAGTCTTCCCAATAACGGAATCCCGGAAGATGAACCACGCCTTCACCGAAATATGGCAGCGGCTTCTCCCCGACCTTAACTAAGAGAACCATCTCCAAAGAGTTGCAACTCAAATGGAAACCATAAACCAGTGATGGGGAAAACACGGTTTCTTCCAAAACTGTGAGTGTCTGTGTACATCTAGCATATTTTAGGAAGAAGATGAGCTAGTTTTTTTCATGATTTTCTTTATTAATATGAAATGCTTTTCTTTAATGTTTAATTGAATTTGCTTACTTAATGTTTTGCTGATTGCGGTTCACTTTAAAACGGTGGCCAGACAGGAAAAAAATCTACTTTTGCCATTTATTCAGCAAAAATTTATGAAGTCATTACTATCGATCCAGGCACCCTTCTAAGTACATGAGTTACCCCAGTGAACCTACAAGCCTGAACTCCTGCCCTTGGTGGGCATACTTTCCAGTGGCAGGGAGATGGACAAAAAACAAGATAAAGAAGTGCTATGCTATATAATAGAAGGTGGTTGGTGCTGTGGAGAGAAGCAAAATGAAGGGTGGCCAGAAACTGGAACATAAAGGCTGAGTGGGATGAGAACAGAGGCTCACAGACACTTGGAGAAAGAGGACTGCAGGCAGAGGCGTGGCCAGTTCAAAGGCCCTGAGGCAGGATTATGGCTCATGTGATAAAGGAACCTCAGTGAACCAGTGACCGCAGCACATTAGTGACAACAAGAGGGGAGATGGCGAGTGTGGAGGGGAACCAGAGAGCTAGGTCAAGTAGAGCCTTATCTGCCTGGCAAAGATTTCACTTAACCTGGGGTGGACAGAAGTCCTGTTTTGGGTTGAGAGTGGACAGTAGGGGGTGATGGCAGAGGCAGGGAGACTGGGCAGGTGCCAAGTTAATAACTAGATAGGTGAGCGATGATGGGAGTTTGGGGAAAAGTAATGAAGATGAGAAGTGACAGGTTCGGGGAGAATGCAGAAGTGTGATCAGATCTGCTAACAGACTGGATATGGGGACTGAAGAGTCAAAGAGCACTGCAAGGTGTCTAGCCTGGCCCACAGCAATGAGAAACTCCTGTTTGCTGTCGGGGGAAGACTGTGGAGGAACTGGGGTCGGAGGGGAAGTTAAGGAACTCAAGTCTGGAGATGTATCTGGGATGCCTGATGGACATCCAGCAGAGATGCTGGACAGACAATTGGACCCAGAGGTGTGGGATTCACGCTACAGACCTCCAACCGAGAATCGTCAGAATATAGATGATCTTTAACACCCTGAAACCATAGGAGGTCATCAAAGCTTCGGGGGAGAAGAGATAGAAAAGAGAAGTCCAAGTTCAACTCTTTGTCATTGTTGCCGTTCTTTGTTCAAAGACACTGCAGCTTCCTTTTCAATATACAAAGTTCTGTGTGGCATTTCCTAAAAAAAAATCACTATGTCGATACAGCATGTCAAGTAAAAGGCTGGCAGAGGTCACGTTTCCTTTCTCCTAGGTAGAAATAGAAAGGTGTGTTGTTGTTTTGTTTTGTGAAATTCTGCTTTTCTCATTCAAGAAAAAAGTTATTGATTCCATAAAGTCGGTGACTTGGATATTTTCACTTCTATTTTTAAATGGCTGGCTCCCTTTCCTGTCTGGTGACATTTGATAGTAAAGGCTTAATTTAACAAGGGCAATATGGAGCTCCAAATGTTCCTGCCTCAGAGAGAGTACTAGATAACTGGTTTCTGAGAAAGAGATACCTGCAAGCTAGAAAAGCAATCAACAGTTCCCTATTTTGTTATATTTTAATCCACCAAAAGAAATAAAACACGCAAACGCACAATACCTCGTAGTTAGTGTCCAGGCAGTAGACTGATTAGCTATTGATTTTTTTCCCCTCTATTTTATACAGGAGCACCAGGATTTTATTGGAAGCCCCAGTTCTGTCCGGTCTGAAACGACCATGTAAGGAAAGGAAAAGCAGATATGGAGAAGGTAGACTTCTGAGTTAATGGCCTAGTTTAAATATACAAAATCCATGACAGTTTTTAAGTCATATTCAAACTAAGTATAAATATCAAATTGTGAGTTTATTTTTCAGGCCTTATCATATGCCGTGAACTTAAAAAAAATCACTGCATTTATTGGACACAGATTGGAAGTCTGGTTTCCCTATAAATAAATAAATGGATGAAGGTCTGCAAATACTTTTGTTTTTACTGGAGGATATGATGGGTATTATGAAACGGCAGGAAAAAGTAGCCGGTTTCCAGATCCCAGAGGGCTTAGAATGCCACGCTCAGGAACAAGGCAGCAGAACTAGACCCACGTATTTATGTGAAATCTGTGTATGAAGTTAGGACCCATGCTTGGTGCTCTGACTGTCCCCGGAGCGGAATCTTGCCCCTTTGCCCATCCTCGCCCGCTTCCCCCTTTCCCCCAGCCCAGAGGCTGCATAATGTGAATCTTTGGCCTGGGGGGTGGTCCAGCTTCCTGCTTCTGGAACTCGAATGACACCTGTTACCTGCAAGCAGGTTTGCCAGGCTTCCTGCTGCACTGACCATAGACCCTACTGGAATCATCTCTTTAATCCCAGATGTCCCAGCAGGGGGACAAATGTCTGTGAGGAGGCTTGTGCCTCTCCCTGGGCAGGCCCCTCTATTGACCACTTCTCCAAGCATCCATTGGCCTTGGCCTGGGATCTTCTCACCTGCAGAGGGAGGAGCCAGGAAGCCTCTCTGATTGGGCTCCTCCCACTCACATGAGACCCCGTGAAGTCCTTGAACCCACTGCACGGCTCCCAGCTCCCCCACCAGGCGCTCCCTGCAGAAGCTGCTAGTAGCTGTTTGTTTGCTACTTCCCCCCTAAATATCCATATGACCCATTCTTGCCTCCTTCAGGTCTTTGCTCAAATGTCACCTTTCCACAACTCCTATCTTGACCTTGACCTCCCACTTAAAATCAAAAGCCCTAGGCTGAGTGAATGAAGCCAGACACGAAAGCTCACATATTATGTGATTCCGTTTACATGAAAGATCCAGCATTGGGATGTCTGCAGAGACAGAAAGGGGACTGTGGCTTCCAGGGACTCGGAGGAGGGAAAATGCAGTGCCTCCTTAAGGGCTATAGGGTTTTCCTTAGGGTGAGGAAAATGTGTTAGAACTTGACCGATATGGCGGTTGTAGGACATCGTGCAAATGCTAAATACCATCAAGATGGCGCACTCCGAAGTGGTGAACACAACGTTGGGTCGATTTCATCTCAATGAGAAACACTTGCAGCCTCATGACTATAGTTTCTTTTACTCTGTGGAAGGTTCCTAACTTGCACGGGGTTCATGTGTATGTTTTGTTAGTTGTACCTCCCCCCTCTCCCGAATGTGAACCCCACAAGGGCAAGGCTTCTGTCTGGCTCACTGATACACTCTCTGGGCCCAGAACAGGCCTGGACCAAAGTAGGTCACGGATAAATCTGTGTTGAATAAGTAGATGAATCTATGATCTCCTGAATGCTTCATTAATAAAATATCCTTCTTATTTCTTGAATACCAAATCAGAGGGAGTTGAGTCTTTTAAAATAGGTTTAGAGAGCCTGTATGGTCTAATCCATACTGAATCTTAAAACAGCGGTGGCGGGGGAGGGGTGGGAGGGCAGTATGGCCTGCATTCATTAGAATTCCAGTCCACCACATGGAAAGCAAACAACCTGACAGAGGTTTAGAGGCTCAGGACGGTGGTATCCAGTGCAGAGGATCGAGGTACCTTTCAGTTTGCAAGGACTAGGAATGTCAACCAACATCACATTTTCCTCTAAATTCTAAGGGATAAATCAGTGCATTGGATTTAAAGCAGAAGCGACAGCTGCGAAAATGCGGCCTCTGATAAACGCACCATTTCTGCACATGCAGGTGTCCCGCCCATGCATTTCACCACATAGGCCCACCAGGAAATGCTTTCTACTTAAAAATCTGAGATGTTGTGAATGTGGCGAGAACGTACCGATGAGCTCCTTGTTTCTGACGTCCAAGGCCATGTTCCGGAGGGCCGTGGCCACCGCGCACACCACCCGGTCGTTATCTATTCGAAGCAGCTCCACGAGGATGGGCAGGCCTTTCTCTTTTCGGACAGCAGCCCGGATATATACTGACCACTGCAACAAGACGGAAGGCAAAGACCTTAGACGCTGAGGGGGGAGAGAACCGATCAGCAAAAGCACGTGTGGGTTTTCAGACTGCTGTTTACAGGAGCTGAGAAGGTTGTATTTCAAAGACCTCGTGGTGGGATGGGTTCAATGTGGTAGGCACGTACTGAGATGTCTTAACTTTACTTTCCGCCTTCTGTGCATGAGAGGTTTCCAGGTTATTCAGGTAACCGTGCATCAACTCTCTGCTGCCGGCGTCCACTGTCCTTGACTTTGCAAACCCTTTGCATGACATGTGCACTTGACCCTTTCGGATTTGGAGGACAGGAAGGGCTAGGTTTTGGTGGGAAGAGGAATAAAAAAGAACTCCAGAAATGGTAGAGAGTGATAAAAATTTGAGAGTAGATAACTTTTTTTTTAAGAGACTTGTGTCTGGAGGTGGGGCATGGGGCATGGAGGGGCCACCATACTGCCGATACGTTGTTGGCTAAATAACACGAAGGACAGGAGTCAGAAAAAGGTAAGGGTGATGAGAAGTAAATATGACATTTAAAATTTTAAAATCAAGAGGAAAAATGGTAAGAGATTTTGAAGAAAACATTTAGATCAAAATGTATTATGTCTCGGGCCATCATTCAGCGTCCAATTTATAAGGTAAGACAATTTGTTTACAGTAAGACAATTTGTTTTGGACTGGGGGTGGTTGGCTTTAATGGAACACACCTCCTCTTACTATGGAAGTATACTTGCACCAGCAGGATGATAAAGCATTCAGATCCGTTTAACGGAAGGCAGGCAGGCCCAGACTTCCTGGACATTTATATATATACTTTATACTATCGTCTGGTGTTCCAGAGAAGAGTGTGCACTATAGAAATTGAGCAGTAGAAGGGTTACAGCCTGTTGCAGTTTCATTTACAATCTAAGAAAATGACATTCATGACACAAAGTTCTGGAATCTTCTGTGGCAGAGTCCTCCAGAGGACCACGGAAGGCAGAGGCAAGTCCCCACCCCTCCCCCACCAGACCCCTCCATCCCCCTTCCCCATTGGGGCAGGCACCCCAGAGCTGGCTCTCACCTGTGGCAGGCAGGGAGCCCCCTCTGGCAGTGAACGTAGGGCATATGCCATGCCTGCCACATCCTCAGCCCAGCCCTGCATGAAATATGAGATTAAAAAAACACACAACTTCATCCTGTCCTACGTCAGAAGTCACATTCACATAGTTTCTTATCACCATCCACTCATGCTGTCTGTTTTTCTCCTGCCACCACTCTGTGCCTCAAGCTCTAGGAAACCTGAGGGAGTGGGGAAGCAGAGAGAATTCACTAAAGCAAGTCCTGCTTGCCAGGAACCATTTCCCAGCCCCTCTCTCAGGGAGCAAAGAAATCCATAGTCAGAAAGTCCTAGACATGGAAACTTCGAGGTTTGGAAGCCGCTTATTGGAATTTGGGTGTCTGGATGGGATACCCTCTCTGCGGGAAGAAGGACCTTCATGAAAATGGTACAAAACCTCTTTTAGTGTCATTGGAAATTTCACTTGCAATTTGACATGCTGAGATATGATTTTCATCCACTTCCTCCACTAACTCTGAACCTTCTTGTCTCCAGTGCATGGAAAAGAGTAGAAACCTGAGCTTGTGCAGCCCACTTATGGTTGGTTCTCTTCCCTAAAACTAAGAAGGGAAGCGAATGGAAATCAGATGTAGGGTCAGTGTCTACATATTGCAAGATGAACACCAAACATAAACTTTAATGCTGGGGAGATAGTCAGGACCTTTTAAGAGACCACAGGGAACATTCTTGGTAACTTGAGCAGGCTGAATCATAAGCCCTCAGGGGACCTCTTTTGTAGTAGCACCCTACTCTAGGCTGGGGATGTTGGCTTATACATCAGGGATGTCGTCTAGTCCCACAAGGCCTGGGGATTTTGGCGTTAGTAGTCTTATTTTACAGATGAGGAAATCTATAAACAAGCATGTTAATAATCTGCCCACAGGGTAGATTGATTCTGGGCTTGTTACTCCACACCTGCTTCTCTTTATGATGGTAAGGATACTCCCTCCTTTGCCGTCACCTCTCTCTCACCTCTACCTCTGTGCTCAGTCTCCCAGACGTTGCCTTGTCCTCCCCACCATTCTTCCAAATGTAGACAGAGGGGAACCTGGCCATATTTGAAATGAGCCAAGAAAGGGAGGCTCTGAATTTATCTTCTTAGAAGTTTGGCTATTATATCCCTCCCAAGTTGGTTGGAAAGATGACTTGGTGTTTGGAAAATAGTGACAATCCTTTAGCTTTCTGGGAAGTGATTTTAGGGTAACAAAAAATGTCTGTGTATGGCTGAAAATGTGTATGAAGTATGGATATGCCTTTTTGGAATGCAGAAATGGTCATGTTCTCCCTAAGGTATGTTAGATGGTATGTTCTCCCTAAGGGGAAAGAGATAATCAGATAACGTATGTGATCTTACGTTAGTGATACACAGACAGTAACTCTTGTTTTGAAACGTTTAGTTCTTTGGGTTTGCAGGTAGCACTGACTCTTGAGCAACACACGAATTAGGGACACTGACCCCCTGTGTGGTCAAAAAATTTGCATAAAACTTTTGACTCCCCCCAAATTTCACAACTAATAGCCTGCTGTTGACCTGTAACCTTACCAATAATGTAAACAATAGATTAAAACATATTTTGTATGTCCTATGTATTTATACTATATTCTTCTTATAAAGTGAGCTAAAGAAAAGAGAATGTTATTTAGGAAGCCATAAGGAAGAGAAAACACATTTAGAGTACTGCTGTATTTGTTGAAAAAAATTTATGACTAAGTGGGCCTACACAGTTCAAACTCATATTGTTCAAGACTCAACTGTATATGGAAAATTCCCAATATTGGCTCAATTTGAGACAACTCAGAATAAATTATTTACATTTCACACAAAACATGTTGCAAGTTTCCACAAGTTTTCTTGACATGCAAATCTATGTAACAGTGATGGTTTCTAAGTAGTCTTGGAGTAGATCATGTGTAACCCATGCATGTAACTTATATGAAATCTAGCAAGAAGGAGTAAAAGCCTACAGGGGCTGAGAGAGAAAAAGGTATTCAGGAAATGGGGGCTGTTTCATAGGTGCATTGAATACAGAAACACAAAGCTCATATACAGGTTTTCCAGAAGGGTAGTGATCTGCCTTGGAAAGCATGGCAGTCTTGGTGGTGGTAGAAAGATATATGGGTTGCCAAGAGTTTTGCAATAGAAACAAAAGTAGGAGTATCACTGGCATAAAAATAGCTGAACAAGAGAGAAAAATGTATCATAACTCATTGTGGTTGAGGTGGAAATTTCTGGATGGAACCTTAACTTTCTGTAAGTGGAATGAGAACATTATGCACTGAGCACACTGCTCTAGAGGGAAGGGTGTGGACCAGGATAACTCTAAGAAAAATGGTCCATGAGATGAAGAGAGGATGTTTTGTGATTCAGAAAGAGAAGAAGGAAGAGGGGAAGGAAGAAAAGGAGGAAGGGGAGGAGAAGAATGACAAAGGAAAGATGGAGGAGGAGGAAGAAGAAAAGGAAGAGGATCTTGTCCAGGAAAAAAGAACACAGACATATTTCAAATTGTTCCCAGTGACATGTTTTCCTAGTGATGATCTCAGGAGAATTTTGAGCCCTCAGAATATTTAAGCAAAAACAAACGTGACATTATAAGCAATTGTCAGGTACTGTTCTAATGACTCTGTATGATTTAACTCACTTACTTCCCATCTCAACCCTATGTGGTAGGCACTCCAGTTCCTTCTATCCATTACAGAGGAAAGGGAGCCACAATGAGACTTCACAGCCTGTAGATGCTCAGTGAGGTCTCAAACCTAGAGGGCACTGTCCCAGACTTGGTGTGCTTGACCATCATTCTCATCTGCTTCTCAGAAAAGCAGTATAAGTTATACACATCTGCACTCATAGTTGATATAATCCTTACAAATGCACCCATTAATTTTGGCTTAATAATTGATGTTATTACTTTGGACTTGCAAAAACTGATTGGGCACACCTCGAAACTCCTAGGTTAAAGAGCCTTGAAGTGCTGTCAGTGGAGCTCCTGGACATTTCAACCTAGCCTTGAGAAACAGCTTGCCCCAATTTAGCAGACCAAAAAAAGAAGTTGTCTATAACTGGAATTACAAAGAGAAAGGCCTTGTTTGTGTCAGGAAAGGATCGCTTTTACACATGTAATGGGACAGCAGTTCAAGCCACTAAAAGCTGTTCCTCCTCCTCCTTGCTCATAGCTCTTCCTGGAGAAAGGCTCCACCATTGTCTGGTCCAATGACAACTGCTGTTGTCAGGATGGGACAGAGCACAAAACAGTGAATGCTGAGTTTTTCTGTTTTTTTTTTTTTTTTTACAATTTGATTGATTGATTGATTGATTGATTTAGAGAGTGTGAGCAGGGGAAAGGGCAGAGGGAAAGTGAAAGAGACAGTCTCAAGAAGACTCCATTGCTGAGCACAGAGCCTGACAGAGCGCTTGATCTCACCACCTTGAGATCATCATGTGAGCAGACATCAAGAGTTGGATGCTCAACCAACTGAACCACCCAGGTACTCCATGTGAAAGGTGTGGACAGTGCCTGCCAGGGTTAAGGAGTGGATGTGGCTGCATCTCAGGGAAGCTTAATAGTTGGAGGGGCAAGTGTGGGCCAGGAGAGCACGTTGGACCAGAGACAGCCCCATTACCTGTCATTATATCCCATCTGAGACCCCAACAGGACAAGGAAATTTGTCCTGGATGAGAGGTGGCTTAGGACAAGAGATAGCTCCACACTGAGAAATGGACACCCAATCCCTGTCCCTGAAGGAATATGCCTGCAAACATGCCCCCACTCCAAGTTTAGCATCAACTACAGGGGACAGGAGTGGATGAAACCTGATAAACATCAATACAGCCCAGTGTAAGCCTGAAGAGACTGAGAAATAGCTGCATACTGTTCAGTTTACCTAGAAATGTCTAGA